TCTTATAAATATATTAATGACTTCAATTCAATTCACTTTATCCCATAAATATACTATATATATATATGTTTAAATATATATATATATATAGTGTGTTATATATATATGTGCAATCTTTTAAAATATATATATATATATATATATATATATATAGTGATGTCATTGGTAAGTGTTAGTTTCTATCCCATCTACTCATAATTGTATCTTCAAGGGAGGTATAATCAGTCTTTTGATTAACATATTATATTTCATATAATACCAGGAAAATTGTTAATTAAAAACCTAATTGCAGTGGATCTGTACTACTCTCCTTGACAGTGGGCTTTGGTGATACAAAGGAGGAGACACCTGAGGATCCCCACAGAACCAATGGGGTGCAATTTAAATCAATATTTTGGGAAAAAAAAATTAAAATTATATATTACATATATAGGTACCTCCACTTGGTCATGTAAAAAACAGTATAGGATGATGAAAAAAATGCCCCAAATTCAATAAAAACAAAGTTTTGACATTAAAATGTTTATGTTATTATTAAGAGGAAAGACCAAAGTATTTTTTATTATTTTTTGAAATTTTTTTCTCTTTTGTAGCATGCTCGAAATTTTATATTTAAAACTTGTTCTTTTATTCAAAGATAAAGGTTAGTTTTTCTTTTGTGCTTTTTCCAGTGAAAAACACATTAATTTGGAAATTATTTCAAAAATCAAATAATTGTGGGATTTTAATGACACTTTCAGGACGTATTCAGAAATTAATGAAATTTTTTTATTAATTTTTTTTTTTTTACATATATTACTACCCACTTCTTTAATTTCATGAAATTCCGAGGAATTAAATTTTTAGGGCGGGGATTTATTTATTTATTTTTTAGTTAAAAGCAGGACTCCTTGAAGAAAGTAAATCATCATTTTTTTTTGTAAAACTTTTGGCCCTTTCACCAAAAATCTGTTCTGAATTGTAAAATAAAAAATGCAATAAAACTATGAAATTATTTAATTAGAAAAACTTTTAATTGCTTTGATAAATAAGATATTTCTTAAAAAAAATTTTTTTTTCAGTGAATAATTAATTTCTACAAGAATTTTTTTTAGATTGTAAGAAATTTTGGGTGGAGATAATGATTCAATGATAGCAGTTTTACTAATTAACCCATTGCTGGGGGAGAAGAGGTAGATTCATTTTTTTTCCAAGGGTATTTGCATGTATGTGAATCTAACAAACCCAAGTGGAATTGAAACTCAACTTTCTAATTAACAATTCTGAGCCATTATACATTACACCACCCACACATCCAAGCTTATAGCATCTGGTATTTTCAAGCAGTCACCCATCTAGGTACTGACCAGGCTTGGTGTTGCTTAACTTTGGTGATCATATGGGAACTGCTCTTTCAAGACCTACAGAAACCACATTATCTGGTTTGATAAACAGTTTGAACAAGGCCAGTATGCTCAAACCCTTAGTCATGATAACTTGTGACTTCATATATATATATTCAATAATTTAACAAGGTTTGATATGTCATAAAATCACCTCACTCAGATAACAGTATATAGCATGACATCATTATTTGAACCAAGGACAATAATGACTGAAGTATATGTTTTACCTACAATATAGTAAGATGAAAAATCAAAATTAAGGAAATTCAAGTTTGGGTTAAAAATATTTTTGCTTTTTCTACTGAAATGAGTACAAAACTCCCATTGTGAACTAAATACTTTAAATTTTTGATCAAAGGATTTCGGATGAGAAATATTCTAATAATGCTCATTTCTCTTCAACTTTTAAAGATTTTAAAACTAAGAAAATATTCCAGTCATCTGATTAAATCTATTTAATCAGATGACTGGCATTTTAAGATATATATATATATATCTTACAGCTGTAATCTAGTTAAGTGGAAGTTATTAAATGTCTCAATCTAATGATTATTAATCATTACACTTACTGCTAAGTCTATATTGTATTAGGTAGTTAGGAAACTGTTGCATTCATATAAATGTAATCAAACCTGTTCAAATATAGCAAAAGTTAAATTTGTAACAAAAAAACAATAGTCATTGTTAGCAATGGCAAAAGCTCACAGTTTAACTAATTCTTTTATTCCTTTTTGAAATAGTCTGATTCTGAATGTAAAGCATTCTGATTATACAACTATTTTTAAGCTTTTGTTACAAAGTAAGTATTCCAGTAACTTGTTTAATTTACATAGGAACTTTTAAGATAAGGACTTATTATATGCCTTTACATTAGACTAGTGTACTCATTATTATTGTTATTATATGTTCAACATTTTGGCTATTGTCCTCTTCAGCATTCATTAAGTGCGTTTCATACTTCATAATCTTCGCAGAATTTTGAAATGAATCCTTTATTCAATCCATAGGGATAGAATATTTTCATTCTATTTTTCATGCTTAGGAGACAACTTGATATGACTTTTTTTTCACTTTACACAACTTAGCTTTCTTGTTGAAAGAAAGTTCTTTGAAGTGCCTCATGCTTGGTTAAAAGCCGATAATTGGTGAGCAATAACTGGCAAAAATTTCAAGCTGGACACATGAACAGAAATAAAACCTTTCATGTGATTTCAGACACTTTTCTTGTTAATTTAATTTTTTTTCCTCATTTTATATCAAAAAGAATTTTGCATATGCTCGTTATTTTCTTTCTTTTTCCTGGCTGAGTAGCTAATTTCTGTGAAGACAGGGTTTTCATTGGTACAAAAGCAAAAATTTTCCTTAGCTCACCTGAATTTGAAAGGAGTAATGGTTGAATAATGGATAGTGGCTCAGATTGAGAAATTGGTGAGCTGAGTTAGAATTCCAGTCGAATCTATTACATTCACTTATGTGCTAATACTCTTGGGAAAAGGTATGAATCGTCTTATTATCCCCCCATCTATGGGTAAATAGCAGGACAGACTGCATTCTATAGCCTTGGATGGCAACTAGTCTACCACAAAAAGAAATGGCAACCTACTGTGGGAAAAAATCTGTCTCATCAGTAATGTATCAAAAGATACATGATTGCCTAAGCGTGTATTACACACTAAAGTAAAGGGAGTTATTATTTCATATTCACCATATATCTCTATACTAAATCTACTGAGGAGGTTGTCAGAATCTAATATGTACTAATTCTTTTATTTTTTTTCCTTCGGCTTCATTTCACATGGCCTTTTCCTCCATACATAATAAGCTATGCCTGATTTCACTGTTTCCTTTCAATGTCTCTCAAAGTCTACAGGCTTTCAAGTCTTCCTCTATCCTTATTTTTCAAGGCAGCTAGTCTCCCTTGCACAAGATGGAATACAAACAGTTCTTGGTGATGTTTTCTTCCAAGGTAGGCTTGGTTTTGAAGAGACATCTCTGAAGTATTGAACTGCTTTAGAATACTGTTGAATGGATCTTCTGAATCTTTTTAGAGGTACCCTTGATGGGTGGTAGATAAGCAGTGACAGATTTTTCATTGTTGACATTCGCTCCTCTGTCACTGCTTGTGAAAAAGTGAAGGACAACAATTGAAAAAAAGAAGAAAAAAAAAGTGTCATTTTTAATATTGTCTCTAATACAAACGTGTATCAGAGGCAATACACAACATAAAAAACCATGATGCACAAATGCATCACATGACACTAGGAAGAAAAACAAAACAACAAAGTTCAAACAATGTTCATTAATATCATTCATTATTGTTTAATAAATTTAATTTACCAAACTAAAACAGATCCTCTTATATAGCAATTTCTAATGGCAACTACAAAAAACAGTGTCATTATGTAGGGTTCAACTATTCAAAGTAATAGTGAATATTTCATAAATTTAATTTTTGTTACTAAAATAAAGCATAAGTTGTCTTATATACCAATTTCTAATGATAACTCTAATAAAAATATAGATGCCATTATATAAGGGTTGAAATATTCATGAAACTTGTGAATGTATTAATAAATTTTATTTTATTTCTCAAAATAAAGCATAAGCAGTTTTATAGAGGATGGTAAATGCAACACTGAGATCTATAGACATATTGGGATGGCCAAGGATGCATTCCAAAAGCTAGGCAGAGTACTGCAAGACAGGAGGATATCTTTGGTAACAAAGAAAAGAATACTGAGCTGTTACGTGACATCTGTCCTTCTTTACGGCAGCTAATGTTGGACGATTTCCTCAAAGATGAAGAAGAGACTCAAGATGATGGAGATGTGGTTCTACAGAAAGATGCTAAGGTTATCATAGACCGAATGTGTGAGCAATGATGAGGTCTTAGGATGCAAACAAAGAGGAGGCTTATATTAACATCAAAAAAAAGCAGCTGAAGTTTCCGAGCCACATAAGGAAGGATAGATGCCTGGAAAATCTGATATTCCCGAAACTTGTAATAGAATAAATTTAATTTTACAAAATAAAACAACCCATGAGATTTTATACCTGGCTGCCTTCTATAGACATATGGATGACAGAACGTGCATCTGGGGGCAGAGTATTAGGAGAGGAAAGAAAAGAATACTTTGTTGAGAGCTTCTTTCTGCAGCGAATGTTGGATTTCCTCAAAAGAAGAAGATGGAATGGAGCCATGATCACCTATGTCCTAGAAAGGATGCAGCACATAGAAATGAAAACAAGAACTCTAATCAAGACAGATCACATTATGTAAGGATTCAATTATCCAAGGTTGTAGTGAATATATTAATAAAACAACCGCAGATTTTATTTACTAAAATAAAATGACAGAACGTTGTCATATGGCAGGGAAGGAACTTTAATGGTAACTAACAAAAACAGATGCCATTATGTAACTATTAAAGGTAGCAATGAATATGACAGATCACAAAAACTGGAAAAAAAAAAATTTAAAAAAAAAAGGAGGAAAAAAAAGTTCTAAAAAAAAAAAAAACTAAGAAAAAAAGAAAAGAACTGGAAAAAAAAAAAGGAAAAAAAGAAAAGGAAAAAAAAAAAAGGAAGAAAAACAACAAAATACATTGTACTTACCAGAGTCAAGAGAGCTAGACCACTGCCAATATTCAACATAAGAGGGATAATATAAAATTTTCCTGCTCTGCCTTGAACAACAATGTCAAACTGAATTCCATAGGCTTTTATTAGAGTTCTTTTGGTGACATTCTCTACTTTATAATAATGGGCATATCTGGAACAAGAAAATCAAAATGTGACAATATAAAGTTTATTTCTCATTTGTTGCTTGTACATATGAGGGTGTATCAATAAATCTAATGTATAGCATGCACAATATCAGATTTTATGGTTTAGTTTATTTTGTTTTTTTTATGGCATATCAATTTCAATGGGTTATTTAATACAGACAAGATTTTTAGGATATGAGCGTATGAATAGAATATGTATTTGTAAGAAATCAGTTTGTAGATCAGGTTTCATTGATATATTTTTGTAAAGAGGTTTTTGTTTTTAAATAAAGAGTTAAATGTATTGCTGGCAATTGTTTTTTTTTTAAATGTATTGCTGGTGATATTTTTACTATAAAAATCTATTTTTATCCTTTCATAGTGTTTTGATCCCAGTCTGGGGATGAACTATTTGCCCATAGCTGGGACCCTAACAGGTACTATCATCCTGGGCCAGGGTAAATCTGAGAACAAAAGCAATTAAGAGGTGGTTCCACTCTGCCCCAAACTTCCCAATCAGAGGCCTTGCTGCTGAATGTATTTTATCATCATACCCAGGACACTCAGATTTTATGATGCAACTCAACGCTTTCATAAGATTGGTATTAATCAACCAATGTTAACAAAAGTTTCATGATATACTTACATTTATTTGATATACAGAGTGCGATGGATAAATTGTCGCTTAAATTACACAAAAATGATAACATTGGCATCTCATTTTAATAGATATATTTACCAAAATTATACAAAAATATCTTAAAATACGAAGCACAACCTCCAGACGACTTCAGAATCTCCTCCAACTCTTCTAGACAGTCTCCATGTTTCAGTTGGTGAATGCTGCCATAATTCTTGCCTTAAGTTCATCTTTGGTGTTACAAGGAGTTTTGTTGGTCTCTTGTTCAACTGTGCCCCACACATAATAATCAAGGGTTTTGAAGTCTGGGGAGTTAGGTGGCCAGTTGTAAGGGGTGATGTGGTTGCAGAACTTGTCTGATAGCCATGACTAGATTCTGCTTGTGAGGCATACTTAGAATATTGCTCCTGCTATATATTTAGAGATTCTTGATAAAATCCAAAAGAATCAGCAATATTATTGGTCCTGACCTGGTGTCTCAGATTTAGTCACTTTCCTACTGCCATGAAGTTGCCTTTTATGAGCTCTTCACTATGATATCTAGACTTTGTGAATTTAAGCACAGTACTAGATTGGCAACTAGTTCTCATCAATTTACAGTTGAGTTGGCTAGACGTAATCGTAAGTTCTATGCTAACAGTTTCTTCTGTTGTATGTTTCACTTGTGGAACTCTTCTGGTACCATGCTTTCTAGTTAACTTTGAATCTCTAAAAATTTAAATGCAATATCAATCCTTATCTACAGTTTTCCTGATTAATCTAGTGTTTCATTCCTTAATGTTTCTCTTTTTTCTTTTTTTTTTCACACTCAGTAACCCCTTGTATCTTAGTAGCTTTACTGCCTTGTATGGGGTGAAATGATAAAAAAAAAAAAAAAAAATCACAGCTTTAGAAACAATCCTTAGTCAGCCTATGTCCTTTTCAGCCAACCCTCATAATTATTTTATTTTCCCAGAATGTCCAATACACCACTTTCTTTGTTTACAAACATAAGTGGTATTTTCATGGTTCACTTCAAATACCTTGGTGCATGGATTAGTTGTAACAAATTTAGTACAGGAGATGAGGAAATTGGACATAGAATAGGCTGCTTGAGGTAGTTTTCCCCAACATCGCAAATACTTCAAAACTAAAACATTAACCTGAAAATTCAAATCATGTTCTTAAATAGCCTCATCAGATCAAGACTTTCATGTGGATATCATACATGTTGCCAAACTTGTTCAAAAATATCTAGACTGTCAGCTGTATACAACTGTTTTCTAAGATCAATGGTTAAAAAGTGGACTGATGCTACAAAATCACAAAGAACTATACCAAATAACAAAAACTACATCACTTGAGGGCTTCCAATAGCAGAAACAACTGAAATGGTTATCTCATGTAACTTGGAGAGAAAATAATGATATAACCAAGATGTTAGCATTCTACACTACTTCAAATAAAAAGGTTAGAAAGGAAAACCCCATGAATACTGGAAAAAAGAGTGTTAACAGCTACTGGACTTGAGAAACCTATTTTCCTGAAAAATTGTTTTTAAGAAAAATATGTTATAAATGTCAACTAAAAGCAACACTACTCATTCAATGAATATCCAATATTTCCTTAAAAGGAAACAGCATATATTACCATTTGTTCTATTTGTCACTTTAACTTTAAACTGATAATGGTAGAAAAGAGTTGGAAAAAAAACAAAACCTTATACCTGAAGTTGTAACCTTCTGATACGTTAGTAGTTCTGTTATTGTCCAGTCTCTTGAAGTTGTATTTCGGAAGACAGGCACTTTCATCAAAATCAAGGTTGCAATCCCAAGTAATTTGAATTTGAATGGATGCTCCCTGCAAGAATAAAACTACTTTATACAATCCTTTAGAGAGGTGGTGGGAAAAAGAGGTAGTTTTCTGAAAAGTGTCAAAAATGTCAAATTTTACCATGTCTAATAGTTAATGTTCAAAATCTGTGTGCATTTTCAAGCAAAAGAAAAGCAAGCAAGTTATTATTTTTATTTGCATAAACTAGTAGTATTATTTTAAATTACTAAGATGGAGTATTGTAAATTATTATTATTAATTTTTGACTTATATTCCTTACCTTTTGGAGCTGGTCTTAACCGGCTCCAAAAGGTAAGGAATATAAGTCAAAAATTAATAATAATGTGACAGCTGCCTTAGTAATTAGGCAACAAAGGTCACTGGTCATAATCATTCAAATTTAACTAAATAGAAATTCTTTATTTCATTTATTCAAGTAATAATGATAATAATAATAATGAAGAATATACAGATTCAAAGTTTTGTAATGAAAAGCAACAATAATACAAGGCGGTGCTAATAAGTACCCTCCCCCTCAAAAATATCAGTAGTTAAGGACCAAATATCAGAATGTGTGAGAACAGTTAAAAAAAAAAAAAAAAAAAACTTTAGAATTAATACACCAAGTATTTTGAACTGCGTATTTTGAATATATAGAGTAGCACATTAGGTAGAGAAAGACAAAAACAAAAAAAAAACTTATGTAATGCATTTGGTCCTTTATTCCTTTAAAAGGATTTTACCAGACTATAATATTTATAATAGTATGTACTTTTCATGGGTCTAGGTAATTCTTCTTGGTTTGCCAGAGAACCTTTCAGCTCTCCACAAAATAAGAATAAACTAATGATAAAATCGTAATAATGAGAGTCTTGACTGAAAGTGTTGGGATAAAAAGCAACAATAAGACAGAAAATGCTATAATATAGTAAAAATACATTTAAAAATTTAATAAAAAGTTAAGGTCACATAAGAATATAAATAACTTATTAATTTAAAAAAAAAAAGTGCACTTGATTTTCTGAGGTCATACCAGGTTACTGATTTTGTTCAGATCAACAAAAATCAATACTAATAAAATAACATCCTTGCCCAACAATAGTCTTTTCACGATCCTTATTATATATCTTCATTTTATTTTTTTTTCAAATCTCATTCACTGAGACTGTTTAAACTTCAATGCTTCTTTAGATCAAAAAACAGCTTTTTATTGAATTTGATCAAATTGCATACAGTGTTTTATTTCTAGAGCACTTAAAGATTTCACTCTCAGTATCTTACAGCACAAGAACATTAACCAATAATCAATGACAAATGTTTCTTGATGAACCAATTTTGGCCACATCTCACAGAGGCATCATTTTTTTTGTTTTATTTTTCAACAGCTCACTCTTCTCATACAGAAGAATAGACTTGACAGACCTGCTTCGTAAGTGACTTCTAAAATTATATGTAAGCATTCCTGCTGGGACAGTTTAAATTATCTTCACACAAATACCATTGGGAAAAGCATGAATCCACTTTCCCTACCAGATATTGGTGCAATGGCAGGGCTGTTTGAGGCCTATAGCCTTGTAAGTTTGTCCATTCCATCCCTGTAAAAATATTAATATATATTAAATATAAAAACAATTTGGTCTACTTTGATCATTCAAGAGAGAGAGGGGGGGATCATTGCGTCATGTGATATGGGAAACAGCTTTGCTTTTCCTACGTTTTGCCCAAAATATTTTGAACATCTGACTTCTCAGGTTTCCAGTATAGAAGTGAACAATAACAATTTTTTTTAAAATTCAGAAACATTCAAAATTGTTTTCATGGTCTTGTGGAGGAAGACTTATTTTCCACTCTGCAGCCTCCCCAAAACCCCAGACACAATGTCACAAGCCTATTCCTACTTCCAAATTATGTAATTTCATGGCAAATATTCACATGTTCCCTTCTTTAGTTCCACCAGTTCAGACCTCTACAACTAGGACATGCCATGTTACTTTCCCAGAGTTGAATCACTCTCATTTCCCCTGTATTCACATTTTTTCTACTACTTTGTGGAACAGACTTTGGTGGACATGTTCCCTGAACATGACAATCAATCTTTTCAAGTCAAAGGTAAATCATTATCTATCCTCCTTATGCTCACTTCCTACTACTTCCTCTTTTATTCATCTCATACACCACTTTCATCATAACCATTTTAACAATAACCCTCTACTTTAAGTGGCTCTCGAGCCTTGTATTAGGTAAATTTTAGTAAAAGAAAAAATTGTTAGTTATTTAAATACATCTGAAGAACTTTTAAATGAAGGAATGTTACATCTGCAACAGCTACTTAGAAGTTTTTAGTATTAAAATAAAATGAAAAAGTTTTTAAAATATAAAAAAAAAACCCTCTTACCATTTTATTGAGATCATCAAAGTGGTTGCTGGTAAATTGGACAATGTCATTCAGAACAAATATGGGACAAAATTTCAAGGTTGGATCACTAGCATTGAAACGACATCGTTTTAGATCACTGTCCAAAATATTAGATCTGAAATGGCAGGAAATGTCCAAAAAGGTGACATTTAAACTGGCTAAAATATGGACAGAGAGTAGAAGAGCCCATATTTGTCCAGAAGGCAAATAAGTAATTAAGCATTAAGGGATTAGGCATTAGTGTGGTTAAGCATTTTTAAACAAGTATTTTTTTTAGTTTTTCAACTGCATGATGCAGTTTTACAATTCAAATTATAAAATCAAGGTTTGCATTTAAGCAAACCTTGATTTGTCCTTAAATACAAAAAAGCATAACAATGGATTTTGACATTGAAGTATTAACTCTTTGCTGGTAACCCAAAGAAATTAATGGCATCAAATATCTTTTCAAAATGACCACAAGTAAAATATTTCATCTTTTCTTTGGATAAATCATTTTAGATCTATAATGTCTTAATATTCTCACTGCTTAAGCAACTGTAACTGGATATAAAAAAAAAAGATTCTACAAGTATAAAGACTAACCCAGTATTTTTCTACCAATTTTTGGGGTCCATCCACCAAAATAAGCAATAGTAATTCAAGATAACACAACTACTAGGTATAGTAGAAGTGTTACTACTTAAAATAAAATCATATGGAAGAGGATGTGGGTTCAAATCTAGTCCGAAACTGTGTTCTGAACTGACACAATTTAAATTTAAAATTCTGAAGATTATATCAGCCAAAAAATGTTTATATAGTAGACAACAGAAAAATTGAAGAAAAGGACTTTATAAATCTTAGAGTCAAAATAATCATTTCAGAACCTCAGGTAATTTAAACCAATAATTATTAAACTTTCTTTCTCTCCCCACTGCTATGCACCCTTTTTAGCACATTTCAGAAACCCAATTTTCCTTCCCAAAATTATCCAAATACAGGATTCTCAGATATGCATTCTTTTCATCACATTTCACACTGCTATTCCCCACTTACAAAATTGTCAAACTCAAAAATCAAATTGTAGAATCATTATTCGTCAATAGAGCAATATTGTTAACAGTTTGAATCTGTGGTGTGGTCCCAATTCCCTTGTGGAAACTGGAAATCCCACCCTGTTTGAAAACCATGAGACTAAACATTTTAGGTAAGAGGATGTGTAATATTTGACATTTATTCTGGTTTAAGCCAATAGACAGGTAGCCAATCTTCAATATACTATATCTAAAACATTTATATTGGTAAAACATTAAAATTATTATTAGGCTAAAAATAAAAAAGGGTTTAAAGATTGATTTTAATTTGGGAAAATAAGCTAGCTTTACAAGATGCCAATTCCAGTTGAAAACATCTTATAGTATATTCAGTATCGAGGCAAGTCTGTAGATATACCGAGAAACAAATTAATTTTAATCTCTTGAGTTTAACTAAAGTAAATTTTACAATTCAAATTATAAAATCAAATACACATTTCTCCATTGATCAACTTATATTCAACTTGTACATGATAATTGTTTAACATCTTTTCATATATCAATTTATGTGTAAAAATTCAGATATAACTAAAAATATATTTGTAAAAATACAATATGAATAAAGACAAAAAAAAAAACTTATTTTAGTCAATGTGTTTCATCCTCTGATGGACTTTATCAAAGGTAAAAGAGAAAGTAAGTTAGAAAATTCTTGAGAGTGATGCTATCAAATCTTATCAAAATATAAATCTGTGCTCTGGATTTTTTCATATATCTCCTTTCGTAAAAGAAATACTCCTTTCCCAACCCAACATAAATGACTCTAAAAAATTTTTTAAATTAAAATAAAACACTTAAGTTCAATACCTTCTATTATTCAAAATATATAATACATAACTTTATTTCTCAAGCTATAACAATAGAAATAATTACATTATTAAAAAACATTCAACAATAACATTTATTACTCACTTTTATTTATTAGACATTAAATTACATCACTTAGCATCCGACATAAGTTACCTTGTCTTTCTGTTAGCCTGAAGTATATTTATGAGTGTTCTTAATTTTTAAAATCCGGAAAATCTAATAATTTTTTTCTTCTGTGTATAAATACTTGTTGCAAAAATTTTTTTTTACTTTTGCCTTGATAAAGTCCATCAGAGGACGAAATGTGCCAGCTAAGATAAGTTTTTCTTTCTCTTTGCACATATTTATATTTACATGTGCCCATGAGTAAATAAGCTGTATATCTATGATTAATAGTTTTTAATTAAGTGTGGCAATGAATTTTATTTAAACATCTAAAATGTGATAATTTTACAAAGATACTTCAGTACCATCTCTTATCAGAAAAAAGATAAGATCTATGAATGCATTTATATGTTTGCAGTGTGTGATTGTCGTGCTATCACTAAGATTAACAAACCTGGTTTAGGATTACAGATAGCATGATTTTTAAAAGCTTTGCTCTTTCCTTTGACCACATGAATGATAACGCATTCCTTTTTTATATCGTGCAACATGTAAGGTAAGTACTTGATAGACATCAACTGAAAAATGTGTATGAACATTCAACAACTAACAATGAAGTTATTTTCCTTGCAGGATAGACATCGACAGGAGTAGTAAAAATAATTCAACCCATCCTGTAACATCATTTACATAATAAGTGACACAATCTCTCTGTGCTTTGTTGTAGTAAAGAAAAAAACTGTAAATTTATAGTAGCAAAAAACGCCTGCAATAGGTTTCTTCTGTCTCTTGTCCGCAACACTTGTAGCCAAATCACAGTTCAAATCATAGTCCAGTGTAACAGTCCAACAAGCAATGTAGAGATGACAAAATGGGGTTACAAAATACAACCTTCATTTCTCACCAGTAAAAACACACGATCATCCTACCCTCATAAGTGAAAAACAACGGCTTTTATTCACCGAGCAATTTTTCTGATTGGCCACACCATTCTGGGGAGGAAAGAACATTAGCTTAAATTCCGATACTTTCGGTAACCTTTCTTTGGCAGATTGCACACAAAACACAAACTTTTTTTTTGAGGTAGGTGATTATCTCAAACTACACTCCCCATTGTCACATAAATGACACCCAGGGGTGGCCCTTGTTATTCTTGAGCTTCTCCAGAGCGGGACAATTGTTGGCGGGGATTGCATGGTATGTGCAGAAAACTCATCTTCTGAGGAGTCTTCTGATCTGGCAACCTTACACACAGAGTCCTTGCCATCTGAAGTGGTGCTAGCTTTACCGCCAATGGTGATTATGCTTTCACTTCCTAAGCACTCACTGCTAGTGTCACTTGCTGAAGTATCTGAACCTATATGCAAGTCTTTTATGTGTCTTGCCATTCCATCAACAAGCACAATGCGCAAGTTACTGATTCCAGTGATATGCCCCACCTGGTACTGAGTCATACACTGGCTATGTGGGGCTTTTACCCACATCCAATCACCCAGGTACTCATTCTTTTATCTGGTCAGTTGAACGCATCACATCAGTGCCACTTAGCCGGACTTTGTACAGGTAAATCATGTTGGCTGGCGCAGTTGAGGGTGACATATGGTCTTTAGGGGTAATGTGCTAATACACCGTTTCCATTATGGAACACTGCTTCCTAGCAGTGATTCTCTTGACACTTCAATGGCATTGCTTGATTATGCCATTTCCCAATGGGAGATATGCACAGCGAAATCAGAGGTGGACTCCCCACGAATCTAAAAAAATCTTTAAATAGTCCACTGCAGAATGCAGTGTCATTGTTAGTGAGGAGTTCCGTCAAAGAACAATGCCCTCAAGTGATCAGTCACGCTTGGGGAATCCTGTCCTGTCACACTTTGCTCACATTCAGTTGTCCTTTGCACAGGTGCTGGGTCGATGGACGGTTACTCCTTGCATTCTCTGACTACTGCCCTGACGGCAGTTTTGGATACGGAGGGATCAATCTGCCTCAAGAAATATAGGATCTGTTTTACACTAGGATGTCTGCTTTGATAATGTACAGATTTTAGTAGATGAGTTACAGTCACTCGCTGATGTTGCACAGACATGTCCCACCAGTTCTGCCTCTTTCTTGATAGTGTCAAGCCATCCCTGGGGCACCTTTGTTAAATGAGCTGCCTTGTTTCAATTCAATCTAACCAGCTGTATATCCATTGATAAGTTGTACTCACCAACTTTCCCAGTGTGTCTAGTCACCTTCGAATGAGCATTTCGCTCGCAGCCTTTGTACGTATCCTGGCCTTCCCCATAAGAGTGACTACTATCCACTTACACATGCATGTGGAATCTGTGAACAAATGCAACACTTTTGCGCTCCATGGTTACTCCTTTAATAATGGCATCCAATTACAACATATGTTGTGTATCCTTCTCAGGACACAGCCAACAGGTGTCTTCCATGACGATTACATCCATCTCAAGGGACCCTCCTGTTGCAAGGGAGCTTGCATCGACCCAGACGTCAAATTCACATCCGTCAATACACCATTTACCATATACGGGGTCGTCTTGACGCACCCTGGTAATGACTTCCATTATCATGTCTCTAAGGGGAGCATCATTTGTTTTGTCACCCCAACCAGAAGTGACAGCAGTCACCCTACGTTTGATAAATGCAGAACCAACCCCCCATGGGAAAATGTCCCACCAGTTTCCCACGTAATAAGAACATGCTACATCATGTCATGTGTCTGGAAATGTCTGAGAGCTCGCTTCCACGTTTCCAGTAAAGCATGTTATGCTCACCTCCAGACCTGCAAGCCAAGCACATGAACATCGTCCTCCAGTCGTTCTGGATTCTTGCATAGTCGGCAAGATGCTGTCTCACAGCGGGCACTAATGTTTTGTTGGTGTAGACATCGCTTGACAAATTGTCTCATCCTTGGATAGTACAGCATCCACAATGGCTTTCATGATGGTTGGCACCATATTGAGCCCAAATCCCATTCGCGTTAGGCAGTATCTCGTCCTGTTAAGGATCACCATCTGAAATGACCGGTGCACGCATACCTGCAAATAGGTCTTTCAAAGGTCAACCACAGAGACATTGGACCCCTTCCTTTGTCATTCTCTCAATTTTTGTGCA